CAGTTTTGAAATTTGTGATGCAGTTCTTACTTTTGAGACAAAAAATAATTTCAGAACTTTTTAAAATCCTCAAAGTTTTAATCTGATAAAAATTTAATTAAATATAGAGTAGGGCTGACAACCCTATACAGTAAAAGAAAACATCTCTTGTCCCTAAATCTGACATCAGGCAGACGGCTTTGGCCCACCATGAGGCTAATGCGCCAATAAAGAAGAAAAGTTCTTTTTACCTGCTATACATTAACATCTACTTGTGTGACCATTATGTACAAAACCCTTCAAATCATATTGGTGTGAGTTTTTCTATACTCTTAAAATAGCTTGTTAAATATTCCGATGTTCGTTATAACGATGGCTACTTTGGCAGGATATCAGCATTAGCACCACATATATATTCACAGAAAACATTTTTTTTTCGATGAGTATTTAAAATATGTTTTAAGAGATATTTTAAGAACTACTTTGTAGATAAATTGAACCTAAAACTAAAATTTCAACAAGTTCCAAACTGAATCATTAAGCGTTCACTTTCTCACTTGGCTCATAAAGCAAACAAACGAGCAAGTAAGCAGGCAAATAAACAAACTGTGAAGAATATTATTCTTCGTCACTTCGCCAGCGATTGTAGTAATCTGCCCCAGGTCAAACGCATCGAACTCTCACTGCGAATGCCCCATTGCTTATCAGCAGTGCAAAAATTTGCTTCGCACAGACGGATAATTCTTACCTTCTGCATTGGAGGTGAAAGCAAATTAGAACCTCCACAAACCACTGCATCGCCTGGAGCATACGCAGGCTCTGGATAACTTGCACACTCCGAAACGTGATGGAACTCCAATTTTCCATTTCATTCCGAACGCCGTGATTGCAGTTCCAGGAGAAGAACCAAACGAAACGGGAAAACCAAAAACAAAAACAAAAAAGTAAGCGTTTGTAGTATTCCCTTTCTACCTTCTAACCATTGCTGGAATCGTCCCAAGCAAAAGAGTAAGAAGAAAGTGAGATTGTTTCTTGCATAAGCTAAGAACTCCAAACCAAGCCTTTTTGGTTTTTGGTTGTTGTTTTTGTTGTTGTTTTTTTTCTTTCTTCCATCCACTTTTGTTTTTTTGTGCAAACGCCTGTAGCGTCTTGCTGAATTTGTTTGTATGATGCTTCAGGTGTAATATAGTTATTTGGGCCTTCTCCTTTCTTGCGGTTTTGATCTCTATGGGGTGATGGTGCATGGTCACATCGAAATCCTCTGCAGATCTCATTATTTTCCCTGCTTGCCACCACCACCACCACCACCAATCCCTCCCGAACTTAAATAGATTTCCTTTTATGGATTTTGTAAAAAAGAATTTTTGGGTCTATCGATTCGTTTTTTTTTCTTGGCCTTCGGTTTCCCTTCAGGTCGGGCTGCATCGATGGTATTGAATTCGATGAGATCGATATTTTGATACCAGAGTGTGCACTGTAAATAGATGGCTTTAGAAAGTTACTTCAAAGTAAATTATTTTATAGATATGTGTTCAAAGCATTCAGCAGATACACCAAATCTATACTATCTATATATAAAATATAGTTCATGTATTTCACCAGTCATGTGTTTTTCCAAACTAGGATATATGTGATGAATGATAGCTCATATATTTAATATTATACAATGCAACTTGAAATGATGCAAGTTGTAATCGAAACTAATAAATTTTGCAGAACAATGAAAAGTTTTCAATATTTTTTACTTGTTTACTGAAATGAATATTTAGGGTTTTTAAATAGTTGGGGCATTATAGTACACGTCCAAGATCTATGAAAGTTGTAAAGCGTCGGAAATCACTGCATGTTGGAATCTAAACAAATAATTAAAACTGAAAAGTTTCATGAGTTAATATATTTGCAGAACTAAAAATATTCATAAACAGAGAATGTTAAGGCAATGATTCCTTATAGGAATGTTAAAAGTGGTTGTTATGAGAAAATGTGAGAGCACAATATTAAAAAGTGATTAGTGTTATAACTAAAACTGTTAATTGCAGAATGGGGAGGAACAAAATAAAATTATTACTTGTACACATATACAGAGTCATTACTGTATATATAAATATATATATATATTGTACGGAGATTTGACACATCAATATAAAAACCATAGGATAACTTACAAGAAATGAACTAGGAAAGAACATTTTCATGCAAAAAAGCCACTATCGGTAGTTTGTATAGTTTGTGTAATAACTATAAAGCGGTTAGTTTATAACTATATGAATTTAGTTCCCTAACTATATGCCGGTTTAGTTTCTAACTATATGCCGGTATAGTTTTGTAATAAACGAAATTAGTATTACAAAACTATCATAAATGGCAAGGAATAATAGTAAATCCTTGTGTGTCTCATGTTCAGATCTCTCAGAAAAGGAGACCGGGGGGGGGACAAAAAATAAATAAAAACAAAAAAAAATTGCTCAACATCCAAAGTGCTCATAAGATGCGGTAATGAAACTGAAAATCATTTAGTAAACACAAATATCAAAAAGTTGACAGGCAAGAACTGCATTAGAGATCAAAAAACAACACAATATATATAAAATTACAAATACTACAGAAACTGTACTTATGAAAATGGAACTGAAAATGGACTTAAAATCCCCAACAACAATATGCTCGTATAAGTACATAGATGTTCCTTTGTTTTCGAATGCTGGGTACTGACTTGAGATCGCATGTCTCTAAAAGGCAGATATCCAGCTGTTGTAATGTTACTCAAGCCACGTATATTTTCACTTCCATTTGTACCTAAAAACTTCAAATATATTCCCCAAAGATGACATCTGATATTATTTGTATCTTTCTCCTTCAGTACAAACGAATAACAATCCGCAGATTTATCGTGTCCATACCCGAAATAAGACACGGAAGATTTCGGTTCGATTTTGCTTGTCGGGTGTCTATTTCGCCTCTTAGTTCGAAATCCAATACAATAGGGCTCTCTGGCTTTACATAGAGCATTAAATGTATTTATTTTTCATAGATTAAATTATTACTTACTTATATATACAGGAATTAAATTATTACTTACTTATATTTACATTAATCAGGAATTAAATTGATACTTATATTTGCAAGAATTAAGTTATTACATATTTATATTTACATAGATTAAATTATTATTAATAATTAAATTATTTTTACAGAAATTAAATTATTACTTATTTATATTTACAGGAATTAAATTATTACTTATTTATACTTACAGGAATTAAATTATTACTTTCTTATGCTTACAGAAATTAAATTAATACTTATATTTATAGGAATTAAATTATTATTTATATTTACAGGGATAAAAATTATTTCTTATATTTACAGAGATTAAATTATTACTTACTTACATTTGCAGGAATTAAATTATTACTTATTTATATTACATATTTTATTTACATCAAATAAATTATTACCTATTTATATTTAAATACTTACATTTACAGGAATTAAACCATTACTTACTTATATTTACAAAAATTAAATTATTTACTTATATTTACAAAAATTAAATTATTTACTTATATTTACAAAATTAAATTATTTTTACTTATATTTACAAGAATTAAATTATTTACTTACTTATATTTGCATGGATAAAATTATTATTTACTTGTATTTACAGGAATCACATTATTACTTACTTATATTTTAAGAGATTAAATTATTACTTACTTATATTTACAGAAATTAAATTACTTACTTTTATTTGCAGAAATTAAATTACTTACTTTTATTTGCAGAAATTAAATTACTTACTTATATTTACAGGAATTAAATGTTTACTTATATTTACAGGAATTAAGTCATTATATGCTTACATTTGCATAACATTGTTATTTAATTATATGAAAAGTTTTGCGTCTTGATTTACGAATGGAATCTATTCGTCATACCTTTATATCGAAAATAATATTTTGCAATTTCTACTTGCAATGTTCCCTTTTCAAGTAAGTGTATCCCAACAAGCACTTACCACAGATATAAAACGCATCATTTCTCTCTCACACTCGAATTAAAACGAACCGAATCCGAACAAAAAGTATCATAAAAGTTTCATGTGAAATGTCCAGCTCTGTAGTACAAAAATTATCATTCCGCGAGCGTCCACAGCCCTACGGTTTTTTTTTTGCCACGGAACTGACCATCGCATTTTGGAAGGATCCCTCTCGCTTTAAATGCAACCCCAGGATATGGAGACCGCAATTCGGATAACGTCAGCATTTCCAAGGGGACTTGGGTCTCTGACTGGAATACCAAATGACCAAGCCGGTATTGACCCAGCGCTAGGAATTTATACAGCTACTGTCGCACGGGCCTAGCTACTACGCGCTTTGATTTCTTATCTGAATACTGAGTTCGCAGACTGGAAAAAAAAAGTAGCGGGTTGCTTGCATAAATCAGATGATATGGGCTAAAAGCTGTATATTTCCCCAAACCAAAAACTGCACGTTTTGCCACATAAATTTCTAAAAGTGGTTCGTCTGGTTTGTTATATCTGGGTTTTGCCAGTCGCTAAGTTAGCCAGAAAAAAATTTGTTTATTTTTTTTAAGCTCCAACAAGTATTATGCTGGGATGTTACAATTTGGGTGTGATATTGTTTATTTTTATAACTATTTCTTACATTACATGAAAAAATAAAAATAATAATTGTATAGACTTTCTATATTTTTGCTATAATATTTGTTGTTTATTGTTTCTTATCCCACTTGGTTGGCCAAGCCCACGAGCCCATACGTACTCATGATTGAAGGGGAAGGAAGCAGCTTTGTTGTGATGGAGCACCCCGTAGGTAGAAATCTGATTTTGGCTCCGTGACGCTTTTACAGTAATAGCAGACCGGGACCTACGGCTTAAAGTGGATTCCGAACCCTACAAACATCCATGGCCCCGCCGGGATTCGAACTCGAAACCTGTGGCACCGACCGTCAGAGCGCTAGACACTCGACCATTCAGGTCCCAAATTTGTGAATGCCAACTGTACGCGGTGTTCCCAGGTGGTCACCCACCCAATGATGCTTGACTTCGGTGATCTAACGAGAACCGGTATATTCAGCATGGTATGGCCGTTGGATACCTGCACACCACTAAGAAAGACGCACCACAAATGGGTTTTCGAATAGGAGGAAAATCTGTAGATAAGATGTACATATAGTGATAAATCGATATACGTCCTTAATCTGTTACATATCCTTAGATTTATATCAAACAAGTCGTATACCAAATTAATTTCTTTCCATTAGTAATAATGAACAAATGATTAAGCCTTACCTCTGAAAAAAAATCGATATAATATATATTGATGAGATTGAATAACTAAACTAAATTGACTTACTAGAAAAATACATAAATGCAAAAGCCTTTAGAAGAAATGCATACATGAATTAATATTTACAAAAAAAAAAAATCCTCCTTCTTCTGCCCTAATTAAGTGTCACCAAATTTGATCCTAAACATTTGTCCAAAGAGCTTAACCATTGCCTTGTGCTCAGAATATTTCGGAAATGGAACACTGTCATCCAAACAATTCTGAAAACATAGATATGATGTATTACAGTAATGCATCGATTACGTCCTTAATTTGTTCTAGATCCTTGGATTTATACCAAATGCATTTTTTCCCTTAGAAATAATGAAAAAAAAAAAATGATTTAATCCTTTTCCCTAAAAAAAAAGTCCTTGGTTATTGACATATTATCTATTGATGAGATTGTATAAATAATGTTAACGCTACTTAATACTGAAGAAATGCATACATAAATTAATATTTTAAAATGTTTTCATACTTCTTCAACCGAATTATGCATCGCCAAATTTTGACGTTTACAAAACATTTACCCAAAAAGAATTTTACTACTGCCTTTTTCTCCGGATATTTCGGAAATGGAACATTCTCAGGTCATTCCAAAGAATGCTATTACTTGCTTGTTTGGCCCTTTTTATGCCATTTTTTTAACATTCATTCTGAATACATGAGCAGCCCAGTTTAATCTATTGATTTTAATAAATTTTATAATATCTGGGTCTTTGTAGTATTTATAAATTTCTGCGTTGTACCGTCTTCTCCAACAATCACTTTCCCTAACACTTCCAAGAATAGCCCTTAAAATCTTTTGCTAAAATATACCCAAATAAGCCTCATCAGATCTTGTCAAAGTCCATATTTCAGAGCCATAGACCAAAATAGGTCTAATAAGGGTTTTACATAACAAGAATTTGGGTTTTTCTTCTTATGAAATACATATTTCATAACTATTAATTAATAATTACATAACATTATCCTGAATAATCAACCAAAAAGTTGTCTCATTTTTTGAAAGTATAAAAGTTAAGTATTTCCTCCTTTATCTTTCTATAAATACAAAAATTCTTCAATGTTATTTCGTTAAACTAATGTTTATATACAATCTTACGAGGATGCAAAACATTTTTCTCATATTTCTTTCTGTGCAAGATAAACTATGTAATTAATTTTGTTATCTTAAAATCGACTTTAAGACTCTGATAAAAAAAATAACACACACTTTATTTTGATAACGATTTTAAAAATAAACTCTATTGTGACAACAACAAAAATACACGATTGTTCATACTATATTTTCTTTTAAATTAGTTATGGTTAAGAAATTGCTAGATAAATAAACTAGCATTTCTGCTTAATTTAATTTTATGAAAATATTGTTTATATTGTTTCATCCAATTGAATGCGTTTTGTTGTAAACACAACAAAAGTTTAATGCTTAAAACACTATACCATCAATTAAATTATCTTAGAAGGAACGCCAAGTTTTATATTTGTTTTTAATGTTATTTTATTCTTTGTCTTTCATGTAATACAATTGTGGTTAAGATTATACAAAATTTGATGTAAACTTTCTATTCGAATTCATAAAGAAATTTTTTTTTTAGTGTATTTTATTGCATGTAGAAGAATTTTCTTTTTGAGGTTATTTTGTTTTGTTAGTTAAAGTACGAAATAAATATTGAAGAACAGATTTATTAATTTAATTTATGAACATAAATGAAAAATTTTAACTGTCGGTCTTTATAGAATAAATTTATTGTACTTTATTAAGTGAAACTTCGTAATAATTTTTGAATTAGATCCAAGAATAAAATGTAAGTCAAAGAATTTTAACTAGTAAGAAGATTTCAAGTGTTTGATTTTTTTTTTTTTTTTTAAGTTGCTTACAAAAATTTGTTAAATTATGCATAAACAAAAGTTGCTGTTAATTTTTTTTTTTTTACAAAAAAATGTAGCATTTAAAACAATGTTTACTTATTTATTACAATATTTTTCTGGTGAATTCTGTGTAATATCGTTTAAAAATAGAATTTATTAAAATATATGTACATCTATGTGTGCATTTTAATAAGAAAAAAAATTATTGTAAGGAAAATGATTCATCATAATTTAGCAGCCATTTTTTACAAAATATATGTAATGTATGTATGTAACCATGCTTCTTCCTACTCACTGGAAAGAGCGCCCCCTGTGGTCTTCAAGAGAAATGGTCAATTGGCCTACTGATTCTCACTCGTAGAGGAAATATATTTCGCGTATCTTGAGCATAACCGAGTATCGGTTTTTCGGTTTAGAAGTAGAGTCCTTTCACGAATTTATAATATGTGTCTTTAAATGTATATCAATATGATAATATATATATGTATAATGTGTAGAATCTATAATATCTGTATTAAATATTGTATGTCTCTAATTGTATGTGTGTGGTGCTTGTACGTATGTAAATAAACCTGTAAGTTTTCCAACCTGTACCTTAAGTATCTCAGCCTAATCACACCCAGTTACAATTTGGTTGTCCAACATGCACACTACATATGTAATTTTTTCATAACTAATATAAATTATTTTAACTGATGTATTAATTTAATTAATACATCAGTTATTCAACTAAGCAATAATAAATTTATATATTAATTCATTATTTAAGCAAGAAATAATAAATACATTTTTATTTGTTGGTTTAATTAAATTAAAATTTTATTAACTTCAAAGTACATAAACAATTATCAAAAATTTATTGAATAAAAAAATTAAAACACTTTGATCAGTTAATAATTTAATGATATTTTAAAACTCTCATGATCATTATCTTTAAATTAACCATTCATAAACGAGTAACTTCTAAATGGAACCAAACTTATAATTTAAGAATAAATTACCATTTGTCCAAACAACATAAACACATATCAAGACTTTTTTTCCACTTATGATCATCAACACAATGGACAATTACTGTTTTCCCAGTATCTTATGAACTAAACTGTCACTTAAAACATATCATCAGTAAAATGCAAAGAGCAAAAAAAAATAACTATAGTTAAATTTTCATCATATTGTATCACGATATTACAATAACTCCTGATAGTCAAACTCACCTGAGAAAATTTTTTTCTTTCATTTGCAGAATACATGCATTTATCTAAGCTGTATTTATTCCTTATTGAATTTTCTACGTGATGTCGTATTCTTTAATTTAAGACAATCACTGTGATTCATTTTTAACTGTGAATACTTTCATGCATGGTTTTTATTGCAGATCACGTAAATTCACTTTAGGAAGTCATTTTCTAAGTTGTTTAAAGTGCAATTTGAAGTAAAGAATATGATTCTTTAAAAAGAAATCAATTATTAGCAATGAGATCATTATTAAATTTTCACGACATCTTAGAAATCGTGCCTCCAAATAGAAACGGTCTGATTTGTGTAGGAAAAAAAGTTTGTATAATTTATAAAAATATGCAATTATTTGTATTTACTGGATTGATTTTAGGATGTTAATTATTTTTCTTTTTATTTTCAGGTAAGCTGTCATGCATTTCAAGAAATTCGTTGTTATATTTTGAATGAAAAGCTGAATTTGTGTCTCTCAAAAAGTAAGAATTAATGCTTGGATTGTCATTGAGCGTTAACTTCATATACCATAAATCAATTTCTGAAATATATGTTTTATTCAATTTAAAAATTTCTTTTCTAACTTCAAAATTTTTTTTTCAATTTTAAAATTCAATTTAAAATTTAAAATTTTGTTCACTTTTACAAAAATTATATTAATATAAGTTATTCAATTTTACTTATAAATTATATAAAAGTATTTATTCTTATTTAATATACTTGCATTAAAATAAATTAAAATGTAAAATATATAAATGCAAATAGACTCTCATCAGAAAATAAAATAAACAATGCAAAGAGTGACATACTTATCGTTTGACAATTTCTAATTCGAATTTTCTAAATATATTATTTAAAATTATGTAAAAAAATCGTTTTCTTTTCTTTCATTTAAATTTTATTAAAAAAATTTTTTTTTTTTTTTAAATTGAAATTTTAGTTCTTGACTTCGTTACTTCACTATTAAATCAGTGTGTCTACTTAAAATAAAAAAAGTCCCACAAGAAAAAAAAAAAATGAAAATTATCTTTATTATTATCATGCATTTCAAGAAATTAGGTGTTATATTTTGAATAAAATGTTGAATTTTTATCTCTCATAAAAAGAAAAATTAATTTTTGAATTATTATTGAGCATTAACTGCTCACATACCATAATATAAAACGATTATAAAACAATTTCCCAAATATATGAGCTATATTTTTTATTCAATCTTAAAAAGTCTTTATTTATAAATTATATTCAGCTTTATAATAGTATTTAGTTTTATCTAATATTTTTTGCATAAAATAAATTAAAATATAAAATATATAAATGCAAATAGACTCTCATCAGAAAATAAAATAAATAATGCAAAGATTGAAGTATTTATCGTTTGACAATTGCTAGTCGAATTTTCTAAATATTTAAAAAGATGTAAAAAAATGGAATTGAAAAATGGATTTTTATCTTTTTATATAAATCCAAATAGACTCATCAGATTATAAACTAAGGTAGACTTACTTATCATTTAACAATTTCTAGTTCGAATGTTCTAAATGCATTATTTAAAAGACGCAAAAAAAAATCGTTTTCTGTTTCCCCTCTCATTTAAATTTTATTAAAAAAAACTTTTTAAAAATTTCATTTTTATTTCTTGACTTCGTTACTTCAC